TCTCAAATTCAGCTCCTATTTCCATTGCTTGCTTTCATTGCAAGGTCTTGGAGCAGGTATTGTAAGGGATAAAGAAAAATTATGAAAAGTATAGGATTAGACCTCATCAGAGGATACTGGGATAAAAAAGAACACAGATGGCTTTTTGCTGGTGGAAAGCAATCCCAACAAGAAGACAGGGCCCAATGGACTTGGGTGGTAAAAGGAGGCAGAAATCACTTCTCCCAGATTTTTGAAGGATAAACTATTTGTCTTTCCTTCTCATTTTGTCCTGGGGATTTCTCCCTTAGTCGGCTCTTGTCTCTCCTATGTCCATTTGCCTAGTTCCTGGTCTTTTCTCTCTGATTCATGAAGTCCCACCTGTATTGGGCCTGCCAGGTTTTTACAAGACCCACTTTGGGTCCTTTAGTGGCATTGTAAGGGGCCAGACTTTGGTTTGATCATTAGCTTTTAGAGACTTAAAGTTAAATCTGGTATATTTTTCTCCATAGGTTTTTAAAAGTTTAAGAAGCTGTCTTCTTTCTCCAGGGATAATTTCTATCAGGGTCTCTGGTCAACACTAAATGAAAGAATTTCTTGGTTTTCAGATTAACCTTTAGACCACACCTATCGGCCCTCATAAATGTTCTCAAAGGACAAAGAGAAAGAGACCTGAATAACCAGAAGAACAGAGAGAGTCCTAGATCGGTCCTTATCTTTGAGTGAACTTGGGCCATGGAGTTAATCATCATCCTTATTATACTTGCAAATTAGATCACTGAAAAGTCAATCAGATAAGTGATGTGACAGTCTTTGGGAAAAGTTTCTACTTGAAAAAGAAAAAGTAAAAGAGCTACCACTGAGGCTCACTACCAATACAACTCTGAAACTGTACACATGTTCTCAAAACAATAAGTCTGGTCCTTTGCCTGTTTTTGTAAATAAAGTTTATTGGAACACAGCCATGCCCATTCATTAATTTCATGGATACTTTTGTGCTACAAAGCTGAGTTGAGTAGTTGTGACAAATTTCACAGCTACAAAGATGAAAGTGTTTACTATGTAGTCTTTTGCAGAAAAAGTTTGCCAACACTTTCCCTAAGGCACTGGGATATAATGCTTTCTGTAAATTCTCTAACAATAAAAGAAGAAAAGGAATTCTAGCTGTCCAGAGACACTATAATCTCCATGGTCTTTGCTGGTAATTGACGAACTAGTGTGGCCATACCCATTTCCTTTACTTTCCCCCTCTCTTTGGCATACAGTCTTAGAATTTCAGTCCTGGAAGAGCCTTTGAGACTCATTGAATGTTTTTGCTATGGCCATCAGGCCAAGAGAGATGCCAGCTCTGGAGAGCCTCTGGCTTCTGTAATTATGTCTTTGGGCCAGCACATTTGAGAACCGATATTTGAGACTCCTCATCTGACCCCTAAAATTAAAGAGGAAACTCCTGAAGACTTAGAGAAGTTAATGAATTTCCCAATGTCACAAGGCTTGGTTAAGTCAGGTCCTTTGGTTCCTTGTGCAGTTCTCACTCCCTGCCCTTTGGAATGCTTACTTCTGAGTAGAAAGAGTTCCCAAGGGTTTGGCCCAGCCTTGTTGTGCCCCATGCTCCCATGGAGTCCACTCTGACAATGTATCATTATGACCAAATTCCTCTCCAAAACAAGAGTTCTCTCTGGGATGTAAATCTGGGGGCCTATTTCTCTGAGTAATTTCTTCCTGCATTCGAATCATCCATATCCTTCAAATAATCATTATAATACAGCACACAGGGAGCTGCTAGTTAAAAATGCCCAAACAAAGTGCCCCCCAAAAAGGGAATCCTGAGCTACCAACCAGTCCACAATTACAGTAGTACAACTTTATGGTTCCTGTTACTCAGTTGAGTTGGCTTGGGTTGCTTTAAGAGTGATTCAGGCTCCTGCAGACACCCCCCACCCCACCCCACCCCGGCCCCCGCCTGGCTCTCCGTGGAAGCTACTCTTCTTGTAATTTCAGCCCTGGAGTCTGATGTTTCCCCGCTAACTGTCCCTCACTTCTATTCTTAGGCCAAGGTACAAACTCCTTTCCTCTACCAGACTCACTAACTTTTTAGGAATGAGGCCTGTTTTAGAGTTCCCAGATTTTCACCTGGAGTACGTCATAATGACTCTTTCCAAAGCTCCCTTAGATCCTAGAAATGCACAGAACCAGCCTCTTATATCCAGTCTCCTTTCAGATTTTATGAGCTGATTTCTTCTGACTTTTCCATGCCTCAAGTATCAACCCAGGGTCAACACAAGTCTTCCCTTCCTAAAATCTCCCTGGGCCATCTTTCAGAAGCTTATCTGGATGTATTCTCTTTCTACAGCACAAAACAACTGGGCAAAAGGCAGAAGGAAGGGGCACAGGGCCCCAGTGAAAGTTTTTGCCACAGCCAGCAGGCCAAGAGAGATATCGGCTCTGGAGAGCCTTTGATTCTGTAATGTCTTTGGGCCAGCGTATTTGAGAATTGATATTCTGGTTATGGGCTTATTGAACAATGACAGGTTTAAACTGACTTCATATCATATTTCAAAGAGAAATTGAGATGTATAGTTTTGACGATGTTCTAAATTTTTCAGTTTTGGAGGGAAAGTTCTTAAATGTGTATTTTCTTGATTTCCATGTTTTCCTCTAATTCCTTCTTTCAGGTGTATATCGCTATGTGTTTAAAAAAAACCAATGTTTTAAATTCTAGAATGAAAATCACTGTGGTTATTTATTTCTTCTAAAGTAGCAGTTTTTAAACTTTGATACGTCACTAGAATGTTGTTCTCAAACAAAATGTGAGTTGATTCCTCTTATATAAAATAAATAAAAATTGAGTTGCTGGGGAATAAAGAGGAGAAAAACCACCCCTGAAGCATTTCTTCAGAGCCCAAGTGTTTTAGTGAACATAGTATAAAAACACTTTGGATTGCAATCATATTTGGTTTTTTATTTGTTCTTTTTAGTTATACATGACAGTAGAGTATATTTTGACATACTTAATACAAACATGAAGTACATCTAAAAGAATGTAACTATATTTGTGTTAGTCAGCTTTTTGCATTGCTAATACCTTAGAAAACAACTTAGGGAGGAAGAATGTATTTTGGTTCATGGTTTCAGAGATTTCAATTTATATTCAGTTGGCTCCATTGTATGAGATGACACAGAACATCATGGCAGAAGAGCATGGTGGAGGACAGCTATTCAGTTAATTACAATGAGGAAGCAGAGACAGAGACAAGGAATACCCGTTAGGGCACACCTGCAACCATGCCCACAGCCTATAGTTTCTACCACCTCCCAGTAGTTCATTCAGTTATCAATGGATTAATCCACTGGTGAGGTCAGAGCCATCATGATCTAATCACTTCCCAAAACCACCATCTCTGAACATTGTTATACTGGGAATCAAGCCTTCAACACATGAATCTTTGGGAGACATTTAAGATTCAGACCATAACACCATATTTTAATGCATCTAAGATACCAACTATCATAAAATGTATCATGTACCTCAAAGAGAGAACAAACATTGTCAATTGACGTATGGAATGCCACAGATTGGCTTTGAAACTCAGCCCAACACAAATTAACATGATTCGTGTGTGTGTGTGTGTGTGTGTATACATATTTTATTTATACTCCTGAAAGTCAACAAATTCATTTTAAAATGCAGCCAATGTGTACCTGGAATTGATAATTTGCAGGAATATAAGTAAATATGCATATAAATCATCTCAATTTATTCATACAATGAACCTAGAAGTTAAATTTAAGACATCAGCAGCAATAGTTTCAGGGAAACACTAAGCTTCCCCTTACTGAGCACTACTAAATACCATGCACTAGATAGATGCCAACTGAGGGAGTTGCCTTGGCACTGTGAAATAGAAAAGGAGGGAACCCTTCCAAACTCATTCTATGAGGCTAGTATCACCCTTTATGTCAAAACCAGACAAAGACACATCAAGGAAGGAAAACTTCAGATCAATATTCCTGATGAACATAAATGCAAAAATTCTCAATAAAATTCTGGCAAATTGCATACAAAAACATATTAAAAGATTAATTTTATTTTAAATAGATTATGTGACTAGTGGTTACCACATTGAACAGGACAGCTCCAGAAAGGATACCCAAACTTTGCTTGAACTTTGGGATCAGAGCTGCCACTTACGGCTGTCATCCCTTCTCATTGTATATATGTGCCATTACGCCCATTTTTCACTAACCAATCTCACTTATATCTTAATCCCAAGTAATTGCAACATTTGGACAAATTGTTCAATTAATTGCTTCAATGAGAACTCTGGATCAAAATGGTCAGTGGGTTGAATTGATAACCCAGCCAGAACCCTGTGCTGATATGATGGGATGAGTGTCTTAGACTCTCTCACACCCATGCACCTGTCCTTTGATTGAGCTAGTTCTGCCTGTATGAAAGTATCATAGAAAAAAGCGCTTAAATATGCAAAATATAAAATCCAACAAAGGTTAAGAACTACAATTGAAAACAGTGGAAGTCTCTTCTTCCATTTATTCAGTGAGTGTCTCCTATATATCAGGTACCACAAATAGCTCCAGAAAACGACAATAAAATTGCTCTTAAATGAGAGAAAGTAGGAAAGAGGTAGCAAAAGAGCTTCTATTTACAGATTTTCCACCATAGAAGAGGTCCCCACTTCTCATAACACTTCTGGAAAGTAAATATAATCAATTCCATTTTATAAATAGAGAAATGGAAACTTAGATTTGTCCAAGAATACTTCCATCTGTGTGTTCTTGTTTCTCCGCACTGCCCACCTTGTGAAGTTTTTTCCTCTATTTATCCCTTGATGAATTCCAACCATTACTTATTTAAATGTTATTCCATTAAAACAAGAGATTATAAATGCTCAGGAGACCTGGTGAGCATGTGACCCATATCCAGAATTTAGGGAAGAAGGAAGAATATGGGTTCCTAAAGGTAATACCCCCAGTACATAGAATTTCAGAAAAAAACTTACCGGCCACCACACCATACTTCGGCCTGCCAGGAAAAAACCTCCGACTGTCCCACGATTGGTGGAAAACATAGCCTAAGGAAGAAAGGGTCCAAAATTTAATAGAAAACTAGAAGAATGACCTTACCAGCCTAGGACATACCTTCCCATTCTGGCACTTTCTTTAACCACTCCACTTTTTGGCCTTCTTTCACTTTCCTATTCCCCTGGACCCTCACGATACTTAGATGATGGAGGCAGGGCCCTACAGTTGACAGACAAGGAAACTGAGGCTCAGAAGGCTTAAACAATTCCCCTAGTTCCAGTGAAACAAACTGAAATTAAGGACAACTTCCTGATAAGTATTTTTCTGCATTGTGTCTTTCCTCATACTGGGAATAAAATCTTTAGCCTGGGGGATGCCAAAGAAACAGAATGGCAATCACCCCCTGCCTCAGTCTGTCTAGTGCAGGTAACTAAATATTCATATGTATGCCATCTGGCTTTTGTTTCTACAAATTATAACCACTTCTATGGGTCCTGCAGATAAACAACCTCACTGCTTCTTCCTAGTTTGACCAAACTGCAAAAAATTCATTTTTTATTTTCCATATTTTGCCTATTGTGTGGGTGGGTGGCCAGATCCAGCCAATCAGGATCCAGGCAGGATCTCTGGGTTAGGCTGCTGGTAACACTAACTTACTCTGCAATTGGCTCTGAACAAGCCCCTCCACCTGAATCTGTTTGCTTTCATTAAATAGGAGGAAATGCAACTCTTACATTTTTATGGATGCATTATAATTATACATAATAGATTTACTGTTATATATGCATGTTTTCATACATGTACACACACACACACACACACACACACACAAATATATACACACAAAAAGGTATAACAATACAATTCAGTTGATTTTTTTCCCCAGTACCTCTCTTTTCTCCTCTCCTTCAATACCTTTTGGAAATAGAAATTTTTACCTCTTTCTTGCAAGAATATCAATGTACCAAATAAAATATCATGCTTTTGAAAAGTACTATATGGTATGTGCATTGTATCTTAATAAAGCTATTGTCAAGAAAGAAAATACTGTAAGATTGCAAGATGTTGATACTAAATATTGCATTAAAAAACAGACATTCAAACTCAATACAAATTTATCCCTCCCTGAAGATGTAAGTAGGAGCTTGCTGGAATCGTTCTTTGGCAATATATTGTGACTAATGTGATAAATACAGAGAAAGGGGACAATTTCTTCTAAAAAGAGGACAAGAGGAAAGGCTTCCCAGAGTGGGCAGCATTTCAGCAAATGTTAAAGGAAAAGGGAGGGGGATTTCAGGAGTTCAATGATCCAGAGGTGGAACTATACTCAGGCTGGGGAGGGAAGGAATGGCAAACAGTGTTAGTTGTTGAACCTGACTGAGGCATATGAATAGGGAGAGTGGTGAGAGGTGAGCCAAGATCTCAAATGCCAGGCTAAAAGTTACAGGCTGTATTCATAAGCAATAAGCAGTCACTGAAGTCTTAGGAGGAGAAATATGACATGTATGTTTAATGCATGATGACCAGCTCTTCTCAAGCCTTCTTTGGAATGTTGTTTCTGAGACTGCAGCTTATTTCTGTTTGAGCTCAGGCCCAGGCCCAGGTCCAGGCTTTCAGCATAAAATTGGGCTTGTCCCTGGACCTCCTCTTTTCTGACATTGGGTTTCTCTCAGCAGACACTTGCTAATCTCCCCGAAAATATTAATGACTGATAGGGACTTAGCCCCATCTGATGTGTTTGTGTTTTCATAGCTGACCATGAGGCTAAAAGGCATCACTGGTCTAAAGAAATTAACCTCTGATGGTGACATTTCAGTCATTTAGAAACTTCATTCAGCAAACAAGTCTGCAGTGGATGACTCATTGCTAGATTGTCACACAGCAAAGAAGTATTGAATAGAGTCCTTTAAGAAGCAGGATTATTTATGCATCTAATCTAATAACAGATTTGTTGAGCATCCCTGGGTGCTAGGCAGTACCAAGGAGAGCGCATCAGGGCTTTCTGGACTCCTAGCAGGGTCTTCCATCCCATTGGACATACTCTGAGGGCTCTATAGTGGATGTTTTGAGAGTAACAGGAGAACCAACAGATTAAAACACATAAGAAGGTCACTAGGGCTGAAATAGAAATAAATCCCAATGACTTAGCCTCCAGTGGTGGGTTAGGGAAAAATTATTCTGAAGTCAAAGAAGGTGATTAGGGAGACAGGAAAAGTAGGTTGAGGTCCAGACACAAAGATTTCCCAGTTCTTCAGAAATGAAGAGCTTAGAGGAAGAATGTAAGGGCAGGGTCTAGAATGGGGAGCTGGAGTAATTCAGAAAAGATATTGGAGATGTACCAAAGGTAAAGAGAGGTGCACCTCCACAAGGCCTTTCCTCTCCAGCATGGTTATCCTCTCCTCATCTCTGCCTACCCATCCCTCAAGGCCTCTCAAATGTCACCTTCCCTGTAAAACCTTACCTAACACTCCCCCCATGGAAATCTCTTCTATGTACTCTTCCCTTCCCCAGGCAAAAATAATCTCTCCCTCCTAAGATCACCTAGAGAACACCACTGTTACCTTGTTCAAAGTCCTTACATGTTCTTTTACTTTGTGTTACCATATTACAAATTTTTAATCCCTATAAAACTCAGTAAATGCCTTATGCATGGAAAAGCACTGTCTCATGATTAGGATAGGCACAAAAAAACGTCAAGGTCCTAGGGTTCACTTTGTAAACCATAGTGTTAAATTTGCCGCTCTATCCTACAACTAGAAGAGAATAAACTCACAATGGCAAGCTGTGAGAGCAAAAGAAGAACAATTAACTCAGAATGTTTTTTGTTTGGTTGGTTGGTTGGTTGGTTTGGTTTTCTCAATGGAATACAAACGTCATTGAGCAAAAGGAAGGAACTTTAAACCTCAGTTTAAATGAGGAACAGATTAAGAAACTGGAGATGTTGGGCCTGGAGAGAAGACTCAGGTGTGGCCTGTTACCTTCTGATATGTAAAACAGGACAGTCACACTCAGTGCATCCTGCATAGAGCATAACAAAAAAAAAAAAATGGGAGAAGCCCCAGGATGTCAGGTTGAAGCTGGGTCCCAGCTCCTTTTTGTCAGTGCTGTTCAGAGATGGCCATGGGGCCACTGGGAAGATTTTTCTGCTGAAAGTATTCAAGTCAAGGCTGTTGAAAACTAGCCAAAGTGACTTTGACAAATGGATTAAAGAAGAAATGTAAGCATAAGATGAAGAGGATTGAAGTCAATAAACTTTAGGTTTCATCTTTATGAACACATATACATAAAAAAGAAACTCAGAACCATTTGGACACTGTCACTGTGTCACTGTCACAGCTGAAAGGTCAAAGGAGAGAGTATTCCAAAAAAGAATAGTGTCTTAGAGGGGGCAAGAAAGAATATTGGGAAGAACATTGGATTTGGTATCTATGACCTGGGTCCGAATTCCAGCTCTATATTGATTCATCTGATTGACTTCTAGCCACCCTTTCTGATCCTAATCTGTAAAATAAAAAAAGTTAGGGTTCACTCAGACACCATTCCAGCTCAGGCATTAGACACCATTCCAGCTCAGTACATAAGACAGGGGTCATTAAATTTATTCTGCAAGGAAAAAGAGCCTGATAGTAAATACTTAATATTTTGTGGGATACATGCTGCCCTATTTTTTGTTTTGTTTTGTTTTGGTTTGGTTTGTATTTATGACACTTTAAAAGTGTGAAAAGCAGCTGGGTGTGGTGGTACACACTTGTAATCCCAGCGACTCTGGAGGCTGAGGAAGGAGGATCACAGGTTCAAAGCCAGTCTCAGCAATTTAGTGAGGCCGTAATCAACCTAGTAAGACTCTGTCTCAAAATTAAAAAATAAAATAAAATAAAATAAAAGGGCTAGAGTGTTGCTCAGTAGTTAAATGCCTATGGATTCAATTATAGATAGATAGATGATAGATAGATAGATAGATAGATAGATAGATAGATAGATAAAAAGAGAGAGATAAATGTGTAAAAAGTATTTTTAGTTTGTGGATCATACAAAAACAGGGTGTGGGTCAGATTTGGCTCATGGACCATAATTTTAACAAACCCTGGCCAGAGAGAGTTAGAGGATAGTTGAAATGTTCCAGCATGACAAGTATAGAGATTCACTTTCAGAAGATATAAAGTCCCCCACGAAGCCACCTGAGAGGAAATAGAAGTGGAAATAAATACCAAAGAAGCCACAATCCAAAGCTCAAGTATGATCGAATGAGTCACAGATGGAAGAATATGAAACTACTGAAGAATATTGGAAGTGACAGGATGGTGACAGAGGGATGTTGCTAAAATGGGCCTGGACCCTTGTATCCCTGCAGCACAGGGATTAGGCATGAGTCAGAATGCCTATCCCAAAGTCACTCTTAACCCTTTCATAGTAAAAAGGGGAGTCTTGACTGGAAGAAATTCAGCATGTTAAATGATCAGGGTCCAGGGGCACTGCTAATGGGGAAAGATTAAATGTCGGCAAATACTAGCAGGCTCATTAACCAGCATTTAAAAGGACAAGTGGTACTGATTCACAGATACTTCAGAAGTGCAAATACCATAAAAAATGTAAACATCTGTAGTACTGGCAGGGCTAAAGAGATTGGTTTACAAAACTGAGATTATCGGGATTGTCGGGGAAATGGGCAGTATAGCATAGCTACCAAATGATAGATTCACATCTTGGATCCAGTGAATATAAGTTGGGGAGAAGTGGGAAGTATTAAGGCAGACACAGTGACAGTGTACCTGATACCTTGAGAAACCAGGAGTCATGACAGCCTGAGTTCCAGGAACAACCCTATGTATTGCAAAATCTTAGGCAAATCACAACCACTTGGGGTTTCAACTTCCTCTTTTGTAAACTGGGGATTAGCATTTATTTCTGTCTTGTGGCTTTTTGTATAGATGTTCTATCCAGCTAACCATTTTGCCCATTTTCCTTAACAGACCAAATTATTCAGAGTCTGGGTAACACCCTGTAGGGCAAATGAGATTCCAAAAAAAATTCCCAAAGTCTATAAAAGTTTGCAGATCCTCACAATATCTTTGAGAAGTCATAAGATTAGATGCAACTGTACCTATGTTATTCTTGGGTAAACTGAGGCTATAGGAAGCTATCTTACCTGGTCATTTTGTTTCAAGCCTGAGAAAGCCAATTCTGGCTCCTACTTGAATATTTCCCACTCTTTTGGGGGAAGCTGAGAATATTGAGGAAGAATAAGCCACACCAACCCTATAATTTCTTTAAAAAATAAAAAAATCCACACTTCCTTTTACTCCTGAAAGTTTCAGTGCCCATAGAAGGGTTAGTGCCCATCCTTCCCTCTAAGTCTGAAGGGTTCAACACAAATAGGTCTGACTGGCACAGCAGCCCCCTCTATCTGTCACCCCCATCCAGGACAACCCTTGAAAGTGGCTGGAATTTAAAGTGGCAAGCTTTTAAAACACCTTCTCTTTTAGTGTTAGGTGTGCCAGAGTCTGTCATAAATGAACTTTCCAAGTTCCAGGATGCAGAGAACAAGTTTCTCTGGTTTGGTGTGTCCCCAGAGTCCCAAGGGGAGACACATGCACTTCCCTCTCTGCAGCACCAGGGCACTCTCTGGTCTTCCTCCTCCTGCTCCATATAACTTCCCCATTCCTAATTAGCTCCAGCCCCTGGGATTCCCTGGCAAAGGCCTCTTGTTTAACCTTCCCCAGGAGCAGTGACATGGGTCAGCCTCCCCCACAGACTGCCCCAAGCACCTGAGCCTGACAGGGGCTGTGACTTTCTGGCTTGACACGGTTTCTTTCCCATTTCAAGTTGGTTAACTAACATAAGGCAGTAGTCACCTGGTTGACCCTCTGCCTCCTGGCACTTTCCTGCCCTTTTTACTCTCTCCTTGTCTCAGCAATCCTCCACCTTCCTTCTTTGCTCATAGGCCCCAGGAATCTCTTGGCTTTCCTGATGCTCCCCTGGGATCCCCTCTAACTGAATTTCATGCTTGCTTACTGTCCACACATTGCACCCCTCAACACCTCTCAAGGGTTTCCAACGCTTTCCCACTTGCCTGCATCCATCTCCTGGCAGCTCAGAGACCCCAGCCCTTCGTGCGCCCCCGTTCAACTCTGGTCTCAGGGCCCCTACATACCCATAGCCCGACGGCCATCACAACCACAAAGTAGATGACAATGACAGAGATGTCCGCAGCATTTCGGATGCGCTCATAGGATTCCACTGGAGCAGCAGCGGTGGTGGGCGATGGGCTCCAGGTGCTACTGTCCATGGCGGTGGCGGCAAATCCTTCCCCCACGCCCAGACTGCTCACTTCTTATTCAGCCTCGGAGTTAATTATCAGCCCTGGGGGAGGGGATCCGCGATGGAGGGGCAGCCGGGCGGTGAATCAAAGCTCCTGCACTGCTGTTGCTGCTGCTGCTGTTGCAGGTGCTCTGCACTGTCGGCCAGCAGCACCAAAGTTGGAGTGTTGAATGAGGAGTCAGCCGAGCTGTTGGCAGGGTGGTGTTGTCCAGGACAGGTAAAGGCTGTCCCTCGAGCAGGGAGGGGCCGGCCAGGAGGTGGTGCCCGCGTGGCACAAAGGCCGAGGTCCTTTAGCAGCGGGAAACCACCAGGCTGCCACGCCTGGCCTGCCATGGGATTCCACCTGGGACAGAGCAGGAGTGGCTTAATAGAGGGATCACCGCCTGGGGCCAGGGACCTAGAGACTGTTGAGAGCACCTGCCAACTGCTGCTCTTGGACAAGTCCCAGCACCTCTCTGGACCTGGCCTCTCCATGTGTAAAATGGGCACAGAGCTCTTCTAAGAAACTCAGCCAAATTCTTGGTCTTGGTGGAGAACATTCTGGGGAAATGGGAACTTGCTGGATGCATAATCATAATCCCTGGCCACAGGCATAGCCAGTCACTCACATTCCTGATTCCACCTCCACAGCCCTCAAAGACACTGTTACCCTCCTATAGGAGGAAGACACTGAGACTGGAAGAAGGAAAGCATTTCCTTACTCTGTGTCTCACCAGGTACAGTCAGCCTGCATATTCCAGGATTTGGCATCCAGAGTACAGAATTTTTGCTTAAATTTTCCCTAAACAATACAGTATAAAACTGTTTACATAAAACTTACATTTTATTAGATATTATAAGTAATATAGTATTTAATACATATGTGAGGATATACATAGGTTATTTGCAAATTCCATGTCATTTTAAATAAGGGAATTGGAAACAGGCCACCACCCAGATACTCAGGGACAACTGCCGTGTGTTTTGTGCCCCTTCTGAATCACTCACAAGGGACAATACGAAAGAATCCCTTCCAAGGAACTCATCAGATCCTGAGACTTCCTGGGTACTCAGCCTGCTCATTAGGAGACACATGTCTAAGCCACACCCTGGGCTCAGAAAAGAGATGGTTGAGAAAGGAAGCAGGACTTATCCAAGGTCACACAGTAAAGGAGTGGCAGAGTTGGCCCTGCAACCCAGGTCAGGCCAGGGACTCTTTCAGAGGGATACTTGGAAACATTCTCAAGGGCTGACCCTGAAGGCCTCAGAGCAACCAAAAGTGGCTGTTTTGGGAGAGGAGAGCCTTGCTCTGATGAGAAAATACAGGGAAGAGAAAGGACTGCATAAATCTTACTAGGACTCTGTTCTGCCCTGGGTCCTCCCTGCTCCCCCACTAACAACCATTCACTGCCCAAATGTAAACAGACTGTTCCTTTGCACCTTGCTGTCTCCAAGTTCTGCTTCCTCTCCTCCCTCATCAGCACTTTTTCTTCCCACCTTAGTTGCAATCAGAAAATCATTATTTAGTCAGCATCCATATAGCTCATCTCATTTTCCCCAGGACTATAAACTGAATAAGGCTATGTTCAGGGCCCAGCATGGTGCCTGTTCAGAAAGATCAGGAATTCCTCTTCTAAGAAATTTTCAAGTAGAAGCTTTCTCCATGGATGCCTCCAACACTTACAGTTTAGCTGTCAACCACAACAAAAAGCAACCTTCCTTTCATCCACGTTCCTTTATTAATTTATTCATGCATTAAGCAAAGCTTTTCCACCTGGCTCTGTGCCAGGCAAAGTCCTTGCCTTCTCCTGACAGTCCAGGAGCTCTTCCTTAGCAGTTCTCAAATATGTAGTGTCTGGGGCTGTAGAGCACTTGCAGTAGAGTGCTTGCCTAGCATGTGTGATGCACTAGGTTCAATCCTCAGCATCACATAAAAGTAAATAAACAAAATAAACAAGTCCATCTACAACTAAAAAAATTTTTAAAAATATTCAGTATCTACCTTTCACTCTAAATTGTGCTTCTGGGTAAGGCACACAAGGGTGGAATAATCATGAAACACTGAACTCTTAGGACACAATAAAATCAATAGCATAAGTGCAGAGGCAGTGGATTTAGGGAAGAGGGGTGGAGGAGGGACTTACATGTCAGTTTGAATCTGAGCTCAGCCACCAACCAGTAGACCATGGGAAAGCTCACTGGACATCTGTGACCCCCATCTTAATGTCTATACTATGGCATAGAAAGTAATGACTGTTTCAAACAATGGGTCTCACTGACAGAGAGACACCAGCAAAGGTGAGGGGAATAGAAGGACACTATGATATTTTTTCTCCTTTTCCTTTTCCTTCTTCTGAGTTCAGATATGGAAAGTCCAGGGAAGCAGGATGTTGATCAGCATATAATTTTCTTGTGGCTGCTGTAACACATTACCACAAATTTGGTAGCTGGAAACAACCGATTTTTTTTTTCCTCGAAGTTCTGGAATGCAGGAGTCCAAAATAGGTTTCACTGAGCTAAAAATCAAGGAGTCAGGAGGATCAGACATCTGAGATTATAGGGCAGAATCCTTCTTTTTCTTTTCCAGCTTCTAATGGCCATGGCATTCCTTGACTTGTATCACATCACTCTAATTCATAGAGGTATTGTGTGTGTGTGTGTGTGTGTGTGTGTATGTGTATGTATTAAAATATCCATAGCATAAAATTTACCACCATAACCATTTTTAAGTGTGCAGCTCAGAAGCATTACATACAATCGCATTGTTGGGCAACCATCACCAGCATCCAACTCCACCAGCATACCCCCCCACTCCCATTCCCCGCTTCCTCCATTGTCTCCTCCTCCTCCTCCTCCTCCTCCTCCTCCTCCTTCTTCTTCTTCTTCTTTTCTCTCTCTCTCCCCCCCCCCTCTCTCTCTCTCTCTCTCTCTCTCTCTCTCTCTCTCTCTCTCTCTTTCTTTTTTTCTACCTGATATATTTTCCAGAGGAAGCAGCATTTGAGATGATTTGTGAGGGTGAGGTAGGGAGAAGGTGCTCCTGAAGGTGAGTCCAGGCCTAAGGATAAAAAACAAAATATTGCCAGGAAAAGAAGAAATAAAGAAGAGTGAGAAGGGTCAGGATAGAAGACTTTTGAGTTCACCCCAGGCTACCCCTAGACTGTGGGTAAAGAAGGTAAAATAGAAGGAAAGATAAAAAGCAAGAAAGGTAAAATGTCCCTGACCTTCCCTCTAAAACTGTAATCAGGGAGGGATTGACCCCTGGTGGGCTTTATCTAAGGATCTGAGCATCAGTTCAGCCCTTGACTTGCTGGGTTAGCTTAGGCAAGTCCTCTAAATTCTCTGAATATCACCTCTAAAGTAGAGAGAGACCCAATTATTTTTCTAAAATCTTTTATTGGTGCATTATAGTTATGTTTTACGGTAGGATTCATTGTTACATATTAGTACATGTACACAATAACAATATAATTTAGCCAATATCCCTCCCCAGAATTTCCCCCCTTCTTCCCCTCCTCCCACCCCCTAGTCCCTTTCCTCTATTCTACCGATCTCCCTTTGCTTTTCATGAGATACCTCCCTTTCTTTTCCTTTCTACTTTCTTGCTTCCACATATGAGAAACACATGACCTTCTGAATTTGGCTTATTTCACTTAAAATCATAGTCTAGATACAAGACCCAATTTGATCTAACAGGTTTGCTGAGTGCCCACCATTCATGCCAGCTTCAGGTTGAGACCAGAACTCAGGTTGCTTGATGGAGGCTATAGCTCTTTCTTCTGGATACTAAACATCTGACTGGCTTCAGAGAGGAGCTACAGAACAAAGAAGGAGCTGCAAGACATCCAGCCTGCCTTCCCCAGAGCTCTTCACAGGACATTGCCTCTCAACTTTGACCTCAGCCTGGTGGAGCAGGAAGAGTGCATGGCTGGGAGACAGGAGCCTCGGTTCAGATACCAATTCCTCTGCCAAGTGACCTTACAAATCTCTTCCCCATCTGAGATTATTTCCTCTCCAGTCTTATTGCCAGAATTTGACCAGTTGGTCTCTTAGGAAGGCTCCTGGTGCCCATTCTAACTCTAGCCAGGCTCCTGAAGCTCCTTGGGCCTCCAACTCTTCTCCATTCCATGATTACAAGCCCTGAATAGTTGCATGACAGATGTGTGTCGCCCTCACTTCATCTTGAGTTTCATCCCCTGCTACATCTCCCAACTCCAGAGATGAATTTTTTTTTATTGCTCACCAGCATTTCTAAAAGTAGAAGTGGGGAACATGGTTTATAAAACATCTAGCTACTCCCTGGATGTTCCTCAAACAGTGAGCTCAGAAGTGGCTATGTAGTCAGGCACACCTGGTTGGAATTCTAGCTCCTTCTCTCATTAGTGAGGAAACCTCAGAACAAGTTATCCAACTTTGGGGTGGGGGCTTATTTTCCTCACTTGCAAAATATGGATAATAAGATTTAAGATACATCAAAGAACATATGGAAAACACTTCAGCATACCGTGACATGCATATTTAGTGTTCAATAAAACAGCTGACCTTGGGGTTAAGAAGGGTGTAGGTGAATGATAGGATACTTGCCTTCCATGCACAAGGTCCTGGGTTCAATCCCAAGCATGGCAAAAAGGCAGGAGGGTAGGGGGGTATAACTTTCATTTTCTTAATACTGGCCACATTAGTACTTACCTGGACTCAAAGATGAGGGGTCCTCATGAGGCCTCTACACTCACAGAACAGGAGAAGATATGAAAAAGAATATAAGGCCTACAAATTGTACAACTTCAATTTTCACAATGATCCTATTGTTTTCCCCATTTTATGGGCAAGTGCACCGAGATTCAAAAGGGTTAAGTAACTTGCCTCAAGGTCCATCAGCTGGCAGATGGCCAAACTGGCACTCAGCCCCATGGCCCCAGTGGTACAGAGAGGAGGGGATGAAGCAAGGAGAAGTGAAGCCTTAGTCCTGATTCTGAGGTTATCTGAGTGAGCCACTCTCCTTCTAGTTTGGCACTCGGCCCCAGTTGCCCACAGAGAGAGGCATTTCAATGAGTCATTAGTTTAACAAATGCAGGTAAAAGTCAGCACTCTTCTAGGCATCAACTTCTACCAAATACCTTGGTTTGCTAAAAAGTCAGAGCCTAAGAATAGGAGCAGGTTAACTGCCTGTTGGATGCTGAAGAAGTCAACTCT